AGACAGGGGCCTACCAAACAGCTTGTGACCATAACCAACAGTGGCCGAGGACAATGAATGCAATTATTTACAAGAACACAGTCCAAGTGTCTTTTAGTCTCTCCCTATTACGCCTGTTTACTCCCACTCTTCTTTTGCGGGGCAGCATGGAGGGGCTGTGACCCTGTCGGTACAGTCGTCAGCAGGACTGTTCACATGCAGTGCCCAGGGCTAGCCTGCTATTCATGCTCTATTGCCAGCAGGCCTGATCCGGGTCCAGCTGCAGCCTCTTTCCTACCAACTGCACATTTTGATGAGAGGTCAAGGGAGACACATCAACTTCAGCTGTCAAACGTTGTTCAAGTGTATAATACTGCATGCAAATACTTAGTTTTCTTTAGGTACAGTGTTGAGGTAATATGGAAAAGATCTGCCAATGGTTCAAACAAAAATACAGTGGTGGATCACTACTTTCATGCACCATTAGGAAGGAATTTCTCTTTCTACTGGTTTTTACTGCTGAGAACCTGGTACACACCAACACCTTTCTGTCAACACATGGCTGCAAGTGGTAGGGAGGAGCTGAGACAAGAGTGGACAGAGAAGTCTGCCCAAGTACACATGCTATAAATATAGCCTTATAAAATGGGATCATAAAATGCAATTTAATATAATTATTTTTTAATATGATACATTTTTAAACCAGTACAACCAATGGACACGCCATTGATTGAGACTTATTTGCTATCATGAATGTGTCACAGTTTTAAGCTAGCAATGCAATTTACAGTGAAAAGCTGCAGCTTTCTGATGAACTGTATGTTTTTCCAACATCTACACGGTTAACCCTAAACCTAACATCTGCTCAAATTAGCTTAAAGAGATATCCATCTGCTTCATAAACTTGACATCATAACAAACCATGTGCATTTTCTTCTGTCCATTATTAAGACTTTGTCCTTCATTTGTTTTCTTACTGAGACACTCTCACTGAACATATTGAATTGGTAGCATGATAAAGTCATGTTGGAGAGATGCCAATCTAGCACTGTCGAGTCTCAACTACTGATGTATCCAAGACTTTGTGCTGTATATCTGTGTATGGAACTTCTTTTGACTAATGTTGTTTTAGAAAATTAGTCAGCTCATGATTTCAGAGATTGTTATGTAAATCTAGATTGGAAAACACCTCAATTGATGACAGGGAAATGTATTAGATTTGTCTTCAGGCTTTCTTCAAAGATTGGTCATTGACAGTCTGGAATCTATACATGTCAGATCTTCTTTTGATCAACTTCAGTAACTTTTAAAAGTTTGTCTCCATATTTTTTCATGGATAATAATGGGAAGAATACAAAATAAATGTAGGCTTGTGTGGTCTAAGATATAAAACAGGACTAGTGGCTTAGAGGGTGATGGATTTGTATAAATCTATCTAAGTTTTGTGGTATCTGAATTGCTCCTTCAATATTATACTCACCCAAAAAAAAGCATCTTAAAATTTGCCAAATGTATTATATAACATAGTACATTGTCTGTCAGATCAGGGCGGAAGTACACATTACCTGATGTAATGAGGTTATTGTGACTGAGACCCCATTCGAACAAGATGGCCTCCCCATCCACTCCACACTGAACCAACTCCAGCTGAGCAAACAGCGCACACTCCATGAGGAAGCTATGGGAGAATAATAGCACCCAATACTGTACAGTAAGTGTACATTCATTCTGTACATGTAAACACAAAAGAACGCATGTGCTGTCTTTCATACACTCACACTTGCACACATACAGTAGATACAGTGAGTTCCATCTTTATTTTCCCCTGTGGCTCTTGGCTGTGGCCCTTTAGGAGTCTCCAGATGAAGAGAGCGTGGAGTGTGGCAGAGGGTCCTTCCATAAACAATAAACAACAGTTATCTTGTGTGCGGCCGTCTGTGTCAAGAGGCAAACGAAGCCAAGCCCAGCATCTGAGAGGCGTCTGCTCCTCTTTCCGCCTTTGGTCTTGTCTCTTTCAATGGCTTATAAAAGTGTGGATGTGTGTGTACGCCCATGAGTGTGTCTGTGTTCACAACGCAGCACAGGGCTCCTCTGTATTGTATTCTGATGCTGGCTGGAAGTAAAAAGGCAGAATTAAGAGTGGCGGGGGCAAGAGGAAGAGGGCTGCCAGCACACTGCAGAACTGCAGGGAGCTCCCCCAGATCCCAGCTGCCCAGGACTGGCTGAGAGCTTCAGGCGAGTGCCAGGCTTCCTCGGCCCTCATGGAGGTGGGCCAGAGAAAGTGGGAGGAGTGGGAGGTACACGTCAGGAACAAATTGCCAAAAATCATGTCTGGACCTATATAGAGAAGGTCTTGGGAGACACACAATGCTGACATATGCAATAAACTTAATTTGTTGGCAGGTGGGAAATATTAGGCACAATTTTTTTGCCATTTTCACAGAGACCAAAACAGAGTTTGCAAATCATAATTGTTTATATAAGGTGTTCATATTTCATAAAGCACTCAACTTCCTGATTAGCCCTATGACATGATCTTCCAGTACTGGTGGCCTGAATGCTTTTCCTTCTCGACAGGGTCTGGCAACACAGTGGAAAACAAAGTTTATCTGGAACTGTTTAATGCATTATTTGTATAACAATCAAGGAAGTGAGTTTATTTTGCAGATAATTACAGCTTTTGTTGCGTCGATGGCCAAGATAAGCCAGGGTTCCGAACCATTAACTGGCTGTGCTTTTTCTGGCAAACACTCAGTTTGTAATGCACAATGCACTGCAAGAGTCCTGGCAGCTGGAAGATCCTAACATTAGAAAGTAGGGCTCCATGAATGGCACAATATCAATCAATCAATAACATCTCCAAATAAGTGTTGTGTTTACACTAAGTAGTACTTTAAATCAACATGAGATACCGCTCACCACAAGGGTTCCCACCCTCCTATCTCTTAATCCCCTTACAACATAATAACATGAGTCAAAGAAAATGGACGCCATTAACGACAACAATATTCAAAACATATGTAAAGCCAATGTCTGACCCGACTCCAACCACACACAGCAGGGAGTGATGCCGTCCAAAGCGACTTGTTGGACATGAGAGTTGGGGAACTGCTGTACACAGTAATAGTTACAGCTGAGGCAAGAGCGTGTGGAAAACCCCCGGCTGGTCTAGACACTTTTGCCCTCTGAGCTGACCCAGGAACAGGCCGGGGCGCTAATCATGGCACTTGGCAGACAGCAGCATTTTTCCACAGGTCCTCAGAGAAAGCCCTTCCTATACAGAGGCAGGTAATCACAACAGAAGCACATCCCGCCATGGTAGCAGGCCAATGAACGCACGCCTGCTTTGTTCACTCCAGCACCAGTTGGGAGACTATTTCTGTGCTTCTGACAGAAACAAATAACCCCTGTGTCACCCTGCCTGTCAGACTCTCCGCCTGCTAGGGAGCCAATGGGTGTTGCTAGTCATTGTGCATTGCACCCTGGGGCCAGTGACTGGAAGTGAGTTCTACTATGACAAGTGAGAAACCCGTTTAGGCTGTTGACTCAACATTATACAAGGGTGAAAGGATACCCAAATATGAGGTCTTAAAAGGTCAGAAATGGGAATGGGTGTAGCATCTTTGGTTTTGGAGATCAGGACAAAATGTGTTCGTCATGTGGAAATAGTGACATTTTCAGGCTTCTGGAATACTCTTGATACCTCCGGTTTCCTGCCACACACATCTGTAGCATTACCTTCAACCACCAGGGTCTCCAGGTTTGCTTCCTAGGTCAAAGTCATGACGTATCGTAATGCGTTTTCCGGAAACCAATCTAACTTTCCTTTGGACAACGTGACTTTGTCATGACCAGTGGGGGCCATTTGAGTGCATTTTATTACCACAGTGGACACTTTGTTGCACATCTGCACTGGGAATGGATTGATGAGGATGTCATGTATGCTATTGTTGGACATATTGTTCCATTACCATGAGGAGATAGAGGTTGGAAAAATGTTTGTTCCTCTCCAGTAGTCATATGTTATGTTCTGAGAACTGACATGTTGGTCGTTGATATTTTTGGTTTAGATATCAAAAAATAAATAGGAGTAAATCAACACTAAAACTTGACTTTTACATGAATTGCGTTAAATGCCATTCCACGTGGACGCTATAGGCAGGAGTGCACATAACTTTCTCAGTGAGGTACTCAGATGAGTACCTGGAGTCAGTGTTTGGTACTCCAACTTCTGGCTCCACTCAAAGTTATTTGATGAAGCCCTCTGTATCGCGAACGTCAACGTGACCGTTGTGATCAGCTATTTTAGCGCAGTTCTCCAGTGAAGGGGAGGAGTCTCCCTCCGCAGCCGGTTGGCGTAGTTTTGGCACAATTCCGTTGTACAGACCGACGTTAACAGCAGCCCTGTCTGTGCACACGGAGACCGACTCTGTCGTCCGGTGATCTAACCGCCTTCTGGAAAAGCTTCACAAGTACATCGGTACGCAAATGCACTTTGTGACACAAGAGACGGTACGCATTTCGGATTGTTGCCGCGCATGCGGACCTGCGTACCAGTTATGTGCACCCCTGGCTATAGGTAAAGATGTTTGCAAAACATTGGATTTTAAAGCAACTGCCAACAGTTCCCACAGTAAAAACAGGAGGTCCCAATTCCAGTGGCCACTAAATAGTTTGGGGACATACATGTGGAGGACTTAGTGAAAGATCTCATGCCAAACCACTTTTCCTCTTTTCCACAAGTCTTGAGTGATCTGAGTGATACATGTACTTAAGCACAGACTGACGGAAATATCTAATTTCCTCCCAAGCTGGAGCCCAGAGACAAACACAGAGAAGGTATGGAGCTCAGGTGGCGTCTGTATGCAGATTCTTTTGTATATCATGTACAAACAATTACATAAATGCAGATGATCTGGTTGAAGCACACACAGCATTTATTTTAACTGACAGGGGACTTAACATTCAACCATTACAAAAATATCACTTAATTGGTTAAACCATAAAGCCATAAAACTTACATTAAAAGCTTGGGCTGGTAACAGGTGGGCTTAGAGTTTCGCTGGTCATTTATGCCCTGTTTATGATGTCACCCAGGTGTGCCAAGAAAGGGTTTACCCCAAACATGAGGTCCCATGTAGGGCCACAACAGGCTCTCTGGTGCTGCTTCTTTCTGCATCATTAATCTTGTCTTCATAAACACATTTCTGAGTGCAGTTAGATTTCCACATCTGGATGGAGGTCTGTGATAAGAAGAAAACAGAGAGCACATTTAGATTAGATATATTGCTTGGGAAATTCAAGACAGAATTATTGCAGATGATTGTATCCACACAGACATTGCTTCTTCTTTGTAATGCTTCTTTTGGACATGCTTGCAGTACTGTGAGTGTTCATCCTCCTGTTTCTCTCAGCGGACTCCCGATGCACACAGTGATCTAGGCCCTTTGAGCCAGACCCCACCAGGCCTAGCCCACCCTGGCATTGGCACCGGCACAGACAAGCTGACAATTATTATCTACCTCACTGCTCTTGCTAGCAAGCTGACGGGACGGGCAGCATTTGTTTGGCTCGAGAGTACAGTATCTGTCTGCCTGCGTAGGGTCAATGAGTGCATCCTGATCCCCACTACCCAATGTTAATAGACACAATAATACACATCTACAATAAATCAAATTCATAAGTAACACTGGGGACCCAAGTCTGGTTACATTTTGTCTAAGAAAGTAATAACTATGATAACTTTTTTTGAGGAAATCAGAAAAGGAACTGTCAAAAAGCAGCATTCGTTTCATTAGAAAGAGACGGAGACGATGTGGCAGACGTTTGCTGGAAACCGACAAGGGCTGTGGTGTGAGTCATCCTGGGATTTTTTGATAATGCGGTCTCCTCCAAAACATCCACCTCTCCTCTTATTACTGACTGGTGTCCCCACCATCATTTCCATTGTCCTGGGGAGCAAGCAAAAAGCATCATGGACTCACCAGTTACTGAGGATGGACCTGCAGGGGATAAGTTGCTACTTTTCTGAAATGAACAACAGCCGCCTTTATTTCCACAAGCTCTGGCAACATACTCATGTACCTTTATGACTCAACCGCAAGTGACAAACCAATCTGGGTCTGGTTGGGCCGGAACTTCTTCCTATAAAATGACTCAACTCATGACTTTAAAGAGCCTTCCTCTCCACCCCTGTCAGCTAAGACTAGCCTGTAGCTTTTTTGAAGACCTTTGTGACTCATTGGGGAGAGCGCAGTGCTGAAGATAGGTCAGGAGCAGGCGGTAGGCAAGAGAGAGAACAATTAAATGCCGAAAATGACAGATATGGCCTGTGACACAGATGGGCCAGGACTGTTTTAGATAGACAACCCCCTCACCAGTCTGAAATTGCAGAGTAGTGCTCTTTAGAAGGAAACATGAACTGAACTGACGCATCAAAGAGAGAAGACTTATGGACTTGCATTATAGACTGCAGATGGTGCAAATTGGTGTTTTGGTGTGGTGATGCATACGACTGTGTACAATAATTCATCCCCTCAGTCAAAAGTGGGAATTATTTTTAAAAGCTATTTATGAAGGAACTGTTGTTTGTCATGTAACACGTATAGCGAGTTCTGGTACTTGACAGTTTGGCCCAAATCGTGAATAACTTTTGACTCCTGAAGTGGGAATAAGTAACAAATAAACACATTAGCTGCACATAAACATCTGAATGAATCCAAGTGTTTTTTCTAGGCGTGTTACAATTAGTCTTTTTAGTGGTTTGGGACTGTGGTGACGAGTGGGTGGCCCAGCCCTGACCCCCATTCATCTCGTTGAGATACAGTAGGCTGAGTTGTGGAGGGACGTTTAAATGCGCCGCATCCCACAAACATGAAACACACAGCACACACACTGCAGAGGTCAACAAACAGCCCAACCACAGTAGCAGGACTGATTAGTTGACCACTTAGACTCCTTCATCTGTGGATACATCCACATTCACATTGAATTCTGGCTATGGAAACAGAGAGAAAGCAACATACAGATGAATTGTAAAGGACCTTCAACTTGTTCCACTTTTTTTCTATAGCTTCAACCCAATAGTTGTTTTGGTTTATTAGACTCAAGGAAATAAAGACTCCCCTATGTGTACCTGCTTTTTCTGACCATCGCAACAACTTGACACACAAAATCACACTTCCGATTCACTCTAAAATTGCTTCTGTCTGTTCAGTAGTTCAACTTCAGGACAAATAACGAATGAGACAAGAGACAAATTCATTCTACTCCAAGCACACTATGTCAACCAGAAAATATGCTGAAAATACGACAACACAAACATAATCTGCAAGCAACAATTCTCACAGATGAAGCACCCTTGATAACCCTTCCTGCCTCCTTCTACGATCTTAAATAGCTGAAAACATCAAAGCTTGGAACATTGCTGCATTCTCAAAGTCCAAATGATCACTTGTCTCAGCTTGGACGGGATCCTAGAAGTTTTTGACATCCATGTCAATGAGACAGGCAGACTCATTCACACAAACTCGCTCCTTCCTGGCTCAGCTTTCTTGTTCTCACAAGATCAGATATACTCATAACTAAACAGTGGTCAACAGCAACGACATAAAAAGCTTGTGATTCATAAGCAGTGCCAGAGGGTTTTCCCTCATGCTCTAACGTTCTCTGTGATCACTCAGTTTACATTTCAAAATGTGTTAGTCCTTCTCTTTCTCTGAATACAAACACAAATACAGACACATACAGTAATTTAGTGGGAATGCTGATACAACATTCCAACTACTTGTTCTTCTATGCACGAAATTATTTAGTGGGAATGCTGTTAACAGCATTCCAACTAACTGTTCTTCCACGCACGAAAAGTTTATTATTCCGCCGACTTATTTTGCCGCGCTTCTTCTCCCGCATTGAACATCGCAGAAACTCCGTTCAAACATCAAAACGTTCAGCTCGGTCGGGAATCGATGGCTATTACTTTTCTCATTTATAACTTTCATAATTCCAGAGATACATCCCATAATTCATCACATTTTTAACATTTGAACTTTAACATTGCGCAGCTCGTTAAGGCAGAGTGCGTGATGTCAGAGTTAGAGTGGAGGAAAGTTGGAAATTTGCCTTCATATATTTTTTTTAAACTGCCATAATTCCCAAACCCTACATTCCTGAGACATAATTTTTCATGACAAACGTAGGAAAACATCCCGTAGCTTGAAAAAGGACAAATAATTAAGCAAAAAATAATTAAACAAAGTGCCTCTTGAGGGCATGAAGTGACAAAAACGTTCAACATGTCTCCATTAAACCCCATTGTAATTTCAGGCAGATATTTCCTCACAGCAGCAGCCGCACACCTTTAGTTAAACTGCCAAAAAGGCCACATTATTAACCAAAAAACGCTCAGTGGGCAGGCCGCATGGGCGCCCTATGTGAGCCTGGGCTCGTCCTGACGGACGTCTTGTTGTCGTAGAAGCTTTTTGTGTTGTCGTAAAGTCTTTTGTGTTGTCGGTAAAGTCTTTTGCGGTGTCGTAAAGTGATTTGGTGATGTCGTAAAGTCTTTTGCGGCGTCAAAGTCCTCTTGTTGTTTGTCGTAAAGTCTTTTGTGGGTAGTAAATAGTCTTTGTGGTGCAAACGACCTTACGTTTAACGCCGGTAATCGAAAATTCAGTAGGACGGATGTTTTTGTCATAGTTTGGTTGGTTCTGTTTTATGTTTTATAAACTACTGGTATGGCGAATCCTACACAACTACCGACCCGTAGCAATGGTTTGACACTTCCAAAACCCCCCGCAAACCTCGCTAAAAGTGATTCAATACTCTTTTTGCACAAGCCTACCGTTGCTCGGACACAATGTTACCGTTGCCATAAAACCTTCGTTTAGAGGTTTTGACGAAGTGCATCTGACACAGTGCCGACCTGACAATCGGTGTGCAACGTTCAAAGTCTTTTTTTTTTTTTTTTTTTTTTCGTGAAAAAACTGCCTAAAAGTATCCTCACCATATCGGTTATAGCACAAAAATGCCGTTCCCTACACAACGGTACCCGGTTGTCGAAAACTCCTTTTAGAGTGAATTACGCGTGTGATCTGTCAATTCCCGACTTGGTAATTGGTAATAGACGGGTCAGACCCGACCGATAAGAACCCTTGTTAAACGTATCCATAGTGCTGTGTAGCACAAAATACCGCCCTCCCTATGCGTAGGGTAGCGGGGTATTTTGTGGCCTACAACAGCAGTACGAGTACCTTTTGCCGTATACCCACTCTAGAGTCTAACAGCAATCTCGACAACTCCGTACTCCTGGCCACTATATGTTTACTTCTAACCCGCTGCAAACCTGGCGATAGGTAACCTCAATGTCGCTGTAACACAAACGAATACCGCTCCCTACGCAACGGTATCATGTGGTGTAATGACGACTTGTAGTCTAAACTATCACATCTCGACGAAAGTCCCCCCGTGTCACAATTGGTAGTACATACAAACCACGGCAAGACTCGTACAAAGTCACCTCGAAATACAGTAGTAGTACAGTATAAGAGGTTGTGTGTCCACAAGATACAAAACTTTCCGATTGCTGCAAATACTGTGTGGACGACGGAATCTCGGGGGTCTCTAGTTTCCTAAATGGTACCACCTACACGTCGATTAGTACACTCCTCCTCGTCGGAAAAGGTAACAAGGCTGTACTCTCTATTTGTAGAACTGTACCCTTTGCGAAACCAACATCTTTGGCATTTTGTCTATGCGCACTTTACAATTGCACACTTCGCGTTACGATTGCCCGATTGCCGTGCGTGACGATCGACAATCTGGGGCAAATCGGCGTTACGATTGCCCCCAATTTCTGACCTATGACGGACGATTCTTCGACAAAGGATATATTCACCATTTAAGTTATTTGTGCAACTATGTGCGTCATTTGTCAGATACCTTCCATGTTTGAGTTTGCCAACGCCATATATGAAACTCTTTTATCAATAAAACTGTGAAATCCTCAATGTTGTACCAAATCCCCTCTCTAATTAAATCGATCGGTCAGGGTCGTCGGTAATCGCGTCTACGGATTGGCGCACGATTGCGGTGCGACGATCGACAATCGGGGACCAATCCGCGGTTACGATTGCCCCCGGATTCTGACCTATGCGACGATTCTCGACAAAGGAAATTTACACAATTAATTATAGTCAAGAGTGCGTTATTTGTCCAGATACCTTGTTGAGTTTGCCACACAACTA